CTGTGCCTTCCCGCCCTTGGCACTGCCCTGCTCACACGGAACTCCTCGGGCATCTTGCGTTGACCTGTCCTGTGCTCATGGAGTCCCCTTTGCCCCTTTTATTTGCCTCCCGTCACCGGCGTTGCATTTTGCGTAGCACGGGACTCTTACATGAACTGGAAGATACTTCAGAATTTGCTACAGAAGCAAATGTTTAGGAGGTTTCCCATATATAAACAGTCATGGTGCAGTGCATCCTGTGCTGAAATGTTGCATTGCTTGTTTTAGTTGTGAGTGACTTTCTGTAGAGAGACATCTTTTTTACAAAAACAGGATCAGCAGTAGCAGGTTATAAAATGTATGTGCTCTTAAGTTCCTGCTGGAAACTCTAAAACTGTGCTTACCTGCCATGTTCTTTCTGTTACACTACCCATATTACATCTTGGCACGAGTGTGTTCTTCCCAAGAAGAATTTTATCCTTTAACTAGAAAGGTTTTTATTTTTTTTAAAAGGCAAAACAATGAATCAAGAAGAGAAAGAAACAAAAATATTTACTAAACTTAGTTTAGTGTTTGTCTTTTCACAGCATGCAGAGACAGGCTGACACATGTCCATTGCATGTCTCCTTATCTGTTGGAAACGAAAAGTACTTCAAAAGGCAGACAGGCACAGCTGAAGATACAGTTAGTTCTTACTCTTTCAGTGTTGGCCTTTGTATTAGTCTTTCTCAGACATTATTCATATTCATTCCAAGAACAGCTTTCGTAATTTAAAAACAAAAAAAGGGGGGGTGGAGGTGGATAGGGAAGAGCTTTAATGAAAGAATTGTGAGAAAAAGTAGCAGTTACTGGTTTTGGATGGTCTTTAAGCACCTGTCAGCATCTACCTAGATCTTTTTGTACAACTTTACCACCACATTACATTAATATATCTCTGACTGTTGTACCAGGCTTTAACAATATTCTTTTTGAAGTTAGTAACAATATATGAGGTAGTTGTCTGTTACCTTCAAAATATGTTCCTTTGAGTACTTTTAAAATGACCCCTAAGGCTAGTTGTTTATTGGCTTGGAAGCTGTTTGTTGAATCTTGGTAACCATGACATTTAACATTAAAAATCAAACCAAAAAAAAAAAAGATTGCAGAGGGAGAAGTAGTGGCAAGACTTGAGTACTTACCATCTTGGTCTCCCAACAGCCTTGAGGCACAGGAACGGTAAGGCAGAAGGCTGCAAACTTGATTATGCTGGACACATTGCACCAGAACTGTTGTGTCAGTATCTTGAGCTGGTTTTCAGCTATGACAAAAATAACCTCAGGCACTATTTCCCGGCAGTGAGTCAGGGCCCATAGCTCCCGAGTTTGATTCTACTTAGGAGGCACTAACACTCGCATCTTGCCATTTTCCATGAAAGCAGTATCTTTGGTCTTGTTTAATCAATGTAATTAATGTTGTGGGGGGTTTTTTCTATTTGTAGCTGATATATGATAGCTTTGCCCATTATCTGGTAACAGAGAAGGGTTATGATGAAGACTTGCTGACTCTAGCTCCAGACAGCTTAGACTTCTGGTGAGTATGGTGAAAATAACAGAAACTTTCTTCATAACTTCCTTTATGCTGTCACTTTTGCAAAGCTTGGAAAAGAGCTTATTAGGTTGTCACTATGATTGTCAAGCCCAATAGATAAATACAAAACCATGGTTTTAAATAGTTGTTCAGACAAGTATTTGTCGTTATGAGATACTTCTTAACGTGATATTTTGAAGAGAGAACTGAGCATCCCAGCTTTCTTTCTTTGTGCTTCTACCTGTCTAGACACAAGCCTTTTAATCTGACTTACACCTTTATTTGTCTATCTCCTTTGTCTTCTACCTTCTGTTCAACTGGTAAATTCCGTAACCATCAGAATTTAGAAATTTTTACCTTGCCTAATGCGGTTTTGTTTGTGTAGGGCAGAATAATCCCAGCAGCCTTTTGAGGAACTGAGGAAAGGTGACGTGCCAGGTGGTAGCCCCTGAGTGGCACATCAGGCACAAAGCTGCGATGCGGAAGACTGAAATGCAAGTTCCTGCTCTGAGCTCAGTGGCCTCTGAGCAGGGCCTTGAATGTGATCTCTGATCTTTTACCTTTAATACGTTATTATCTAGGCCACGGGAGTGGAGGCTTGAAGGCCGGGTTATCACTAAATCTTTCAGGAGAAGCAGAGGAGTTTTTTGGTTGGTTTGTTTTTGATGGTTGTTTAGATGATCTTTTAAGATCCCTTCCAACCCCTAAAATTCTGTGATTATTGAGTAAGAGATTCGATCAGTTGTGTTTAAATTTGATATTTGACTGGATGGTTTTCAACAAGATCAATTTCAACTTTCAGGAAGCAAGCAATGTATATGTATTTTGAGGCATCTGATTCGTGCAATCCTTTGCTAAGATCTAGACAGCCCAGCCTCCATCCATTACTGAAGCTGAGGGTTCATGAATGTGGACCTGCAGGCCCACTGTGCTGGTAGCCTTGTGTTGGTGCTACTTGCCTGGTGTCGTTTGTGAAAGGCTAGAGTCTGCTTGCTGCCATCATGGCCTATTTCTTTCCTGTGTGTACCTTACTACAGAGTATGAAAGTGCCATTACTTTTTTAGTCTTGTTTATTTGTTATCGTTCTAGCCACTGAACCCTTAATTAATTTTTCAAACAACCTAACTGAATCCAGATTTGCTTATCTGGAAGGTACGGGTTTGTTAGGAGAGTTAGGAACTCTTGTCGAGTGTCTGTCCTGTGCTTCGTTAGCGCTAGCTGGCATGGCAATGCTTCTGCTTGACATTTTCCTTGGAGATTCAGTTGCCTCATTTAGAATGATACTCTACTCCTCTCTCCCTTGATAACTGGTGTTATCAGTCTAGTAAGTATAATCAGGGAACTTGTATTAAAGAAAGGTATTTTTTCTTGGTGACAAACGACTTGAATATCACATTTCTTAGTTGTATATGTTTGGACCTTAATCCTCCAACCTTGTCCATATGAACAATCACTGAACTCACTGACCAATGGAACTGGATTTATTTAGTAGGAATTTACTATGTGAGTGAAATCCAGTCCTCATTGTAGTAATATTTATTTGCCATATATAGAGCATTGTTCAAACCTGTGTGTATTTGAAGGGTTGTGACTTTGTTGTTTTAGTGTAGCATCACCGGATAGCTTCTGTAACTACATTTCACTGATATATAACGAGGCATTCCTCTGAAAGCATTAATTTTTTGTTTTTAAAATTACTCTTAGTTGCAAAGGCTTGGTGTTGGATATTGAAGAAGGAAGCTTCGTGAAACTTGCAGAAGATGGAACAGTTTTAAGGTAATATTGACAATAAGTTTCTATCGTTAAACAAACCCCAAAATCTTATCCTTTTTCTGAAAGTTTTCTCCGTTTTATTAAATATCTAAAATAATAATTGGAGTGTACATTCCTTTATTAGTTGTAAAAGTTTAAATACTCTTTGGCAGTGTGGTGCTCAGTTTTTCTTGATGTTAAAAATGCAGTCTTCTCCCAAATTTCTGTGTATCTCAAAATTTCTGAGTATCTCATTCTCAATAGGCATCAAAGACTTTGAGGGTATAGTGATCTTGAAAATAAATTTTTTGCACTGCCTAGTGATGTATTCTTTGTCCAATACTACTAAGATCCAGGGCAAGTTTTTTTCTCTGGTTTGTGACTAACTTGACTCAGAGTCAGTGTTAATGACTAATGCTAATGATGGGAGCACCATTACCTTTGTACCATACACGTGCAAAATTCTGCTCGTTTACAACATATAATTTAGATAGCCTGAGGTAAATTAAACACAGAATCTGATATTCACTTTTAAAATTCTATTGTGGTTTTGTTGTGTTTTTTTTTCCTCTTGAAAACTAAATTTTGTCTTCAGTCATCATTTCAGTACATCCTTTCTTCCTCTTTGCCTCTTTTTTTGTTAAAAACATAGAAGACTGCTATTTTTAATCACAAATCTGAAAAGTAAATATATATAAAGTATATCAATCCCATTCACATTTCCCTTTTCCTCTTTTTTCCCAAAAAAAAAAGAAAGTTCTGTAATCTAATATGCAAGATAGACTCCACTTTTTTTTTTTTCCCCTTCTCGTAGCATTTGGTAGAGGTTGCTTGAAGAAGCTAGGAAAAATCAGATCTCATTGGAAGAAGGGAAGAAATGCTTGTGAGCCTCTGCGGTGTATCCCAAAATTCATCTAGTACCATGAATTTCAGAGTACTAAATGCAGATTTCAAGACCAGAGGGTATACAGCATTAAAGGGAAGAGTGGTACAGGGTTACTTTTCCTAACATTAGCTACATTTGCTTCAAAACTGGAGTCTGTGTGTTCTTTTGGGGCCCAGTTTGATGGTCAAGCTAGTTGATTTTTAGATCCTGAAAAGGCTTGTGCCTACTTCTGTATTACACAGCTGCTTGCAGGGATCACACTAGCACTTTTCCATAGTTCTGCCCTGCATTCTGTGAATGTTACCAGGCTTCAGAATGATGTATAGGCTTTCTGCACTGTGTTTTGTTGTGCAGTGTATATTGGTAGTTCAAGTATAGCTAATGTCCTCACACAATTGGGAACGTTCGAGCAATACAGAGTGATTGTGTTAGCAGGTGAGGGACAGTAGCTATGCCCCAGCCAACCAAACCTCTGCGTAGTAAGGCTTTTGTGGAGGACTGCAATGTATATGATAAAAGCTTAGCTCCTGGGAAACTTCTAAATTACAAAGAAAGTTGCTTTTGATCAACTTACGTGCACCTCAGAACTCAGGTGCAATGCATTGCTTTGCACAAGGAGTAGTTTGGCGCTTTTCAACTTTTTTCTTCTTCTTTCCATTTTTTTTTTCCTTTTTCCCCTTTTATTTATAAATAACTTAATGCATCAAACAGGGCAAGCCATGGTACGAAGAGCTTGACATCCGAAGAGATCCTGGAGACCTACGGAAGGAGGGAGTGGAAGCATTTTAATACAGTCAGTGGAATGGTTTCCCGCTCAGGTAGCTATACCTTAGCACATCATCATCTTTGACATTCCTGTGCCTCCTTCAGTGCGTCATATTACCACAGATATTTAGAAATACTTGAGCTGAGAATTACTGGAATAGGTAACTGTTGGGGGGGGAGAGTTGGGGGTTTTTTATTTATTTTCAACTTCTAATACTAGAATTCAACTTAAATTTAGGTCATAAATGATGAGACAAATGAGCTGTGTTTTGGCTATAGAGATGAACACATTGTTTGTTGAGGAAGTAGACTGAGATTACCATCCTACTCTCATTTAGGACATATTTGTCGAATCTTAAATCTTGCTTAACTGTTGACTCATCAGTGCTGTTACTGGAGGCCTAGGTGCAGTCGCAAAGAACAGAGCCGGTCTGGAAACAAAACTTTACCTCCTGCAACTGAAGCTTCTTGGTTTTAAGATGAGAGTCACTTTGAAGGCACTGTGGTTAGGTTTGCACTCTTACTCTGTGCTTCCTCTCAGTTTTGCTTTGATCTTGGCAATTGTGAGCAATACACATTAAGCGCTTGGCTCTGTCTACCTCAAACTAGAACAGTGCTCCGTCGTGTTGTGCTATGTAATGGAGATATTTTCCCTCTGATTTTGCTGACATAAACTTGTTCGTGATACTCAAAACTGCAGGTAATGTTTTGCAACAGGGTAGAAGAGAAAGGTTTCCTTTGGTCATGCAGCAAGTGTGCCTTTCTTATTAATTGAGAAGTGCACTTGATCTCTCATGTGAATGTCAATCCCTGTACTGTTGTTTTCTTCTTTAATATACAGCACAGACAAGATCATGAATAGTTAACTATCACTAGTTAAGTAATTTCACTCCTAGGAAGGGGGTGTTGAATGTGACCTCAGTCTGGGGGAACATTTGCGCTCTCCTGATTTAGTTCTGATTTGGGGACTCACATAATAATGTGGGCATGCTTCCCCTTGGGCTAAGGCACTGTCTGCAGCATCTGTGTGCAAAAGACAAGACTACATGTAAGACCAAATGTTTCTAAAACAACTTCTCAAACCATTTATTTGTGTTTCCACTGCTGAGGAACTACATATTTTGGAACAGTTGAATGATACTGTACTCTTAAAACTCATCTGTTCCACCTTAACTGTTAGAACTTTAAAATGCATTTTCAAAGTCTCGCTGCCTGGATGCAGGTGAACAACTTTCAGTTGCCAAATATGAAAATCAGAAGTGGGAATAAAGACTAACGGAAATTGGGAGGAAGATAGTATTTGTTAGCAGTGAAATCCAGATAGAAGCTTATATTATTACTTAAATTTGTTATTTGTAATTAAAACATACAGTACGGATTTTTAAAAGTAGATTTTTTTTTCTAATTATTTTTTCCAGCTAAATACTATTTGTATGATAATTATTTTGACCTGCCAGGAGCTCTCTTGTGTGCAAGGGTTGTGGACAGCTTAGATCAGGTAAGAACTGGATTGTTTGAAACTATGTAACGTGTTATCTTTCTCTTCCTCCACCACACTTCCTGCATGCGTTATTAAATGCATCCAAATAGTGTGTTCAACGACGTGAAGATTTTGAGATTTTGTACTTGTTTGGATTTTTTTATTTTGAACTTGGTGTATTCAAGTTGGCTCTGAAGGTAATTGGGAGCTACATGGCATGTTCAAAATAAATGTACTTCCACCAGAGGGCACAAATAACTAGGATACGAATAGAAATGCACTGTTTTCTCAGGTTTTCTCTGTGATATGTAGAATATAGTTCTTAAAATCTCCTTTAATTATACTTGATGATACTTGAATTAAATCTAATGTAAATCTGAATAACATTTTGCTAATTTGCAAGGTGTTAATGAGTTGAAAGCTTAATTCCATCTTTTTTTTACACTTGTTTTTGTCTTAAATGTATTGATCTGCATATACAGATGTAAATACCCCTCTAGAATAGTATCCAGTTTGCTTTTTTTCTCTGCTAAAAATAAGCTAATTCCTAAGACAGAAAATAAAATTGTTTGAACCTTTTCCAGTGCTTTTTAAATAGATAGAATGTCCTAAATCCTATCTTTGAAGTCTAATGCTAGTTGATTTTGTTCTGTCAAAGTAGGCTTGAATCTTTTACTTGTGTTTAGCTGGGTGTAAAAGAGGGTTCTCGTACAGTAAGTGTTTTGGTGTCAAAAGAGTTGTGATGTAATCTTCTGGCTAAAGGTACCAAAGAACTGCAGCAACTGAAAACTGCCAATACTAAGCTTTGTCTGCAGAGCATAGTTCAGAACTGTGAGAAGGATATCTGGCATCCCTTTGGGTATCAGCTAATTCGATTCTTTAGCCTCCACTCAGAAATAGCATGCTGAGTAGATTGCTGCCAAAGTCCAAGTGCTGCATAAAGAGTTAGCTAAAGCTAGCTTATCAGCAGGCACTGAGGACAGGTGCGCCATAAGACTCTTATTTTCCTAATTGATTAATCTCCTTCCTCCAAGCTGTTCATAGCTTAGAACCCTGTCTGAGATGTAACACATATATTGTATTAGTTTAATGTAAACTCAGCACAAATCACCTGATTATTGAGAGAGAAAGCATGTCATAGCATGTGTGTAATAAGCTTTCACATTCAGTTACTAGTCCTGAGCTGGAGCACTGACCCTGGATCAGTGCCATCTTCAGCCAGAGAGAATTAAACCTGTGCCTTTTCTCCAGAGAGCTACTTAAAGTGAGTCATGCACCCTCTTCATCAGCTAGCACTTCTTGAATATTTTAGTCGAGGTTGTCCAGTTTCAGCAGCCCTCCTGTTGAAAGCACTAAACAAAAAAAAGCAAATTGCCAAAGTAAGGAGCAAGCCAGCCACATGAAGTATGAGGGGAGATGACAGTTGAATCCATCCGCCTCAAGGTCACTGCTAGTGTGTGCTAGTGCCATCGCCACTAGACACGTGGGTGCTCGCCAGCATCTGCTGAACACAGCTTTGTCTAATGACCTTGGTTAGCAGCTAACTGAAGTTTGACATCTATGAAACCTTTTCTCAGTATTGGTTCTTTCATGAATTTCTGTGGCAGCTTGGTATAGGAAAGGATTTTTTTTTTAAATAAATAAATGAAAGACAGAGCATTATATCTTTCCTGATCTTAACCTGTAGAGCTGGTGGATGGTAAGCAAACTGCTATGGTGCTCATTAGTCATGCACAAAAGGCCTCATTTGTGTGACTTTCTCGATGTGAAATTGAGTGGACTGTTGTTCCTGAAGCCTCCATAAGCAGATTAGGCCTGAAATAGCAGTCTACTTCAGTACATATAAGCTACATGGTTTTGGTTGGTGATGTTAAGGTGGTTTTCTGTTTGGGGTTGGGGTTTTTTTCAGTTTCTGAATGTTTCCCTCTAGAAAATGCTTTATGCTTACAAAATCAGTCATTATTTGGGCATCAGCATCAGTGCAGTGGTCAGGACGCAAAGTGGCAATGCTGTGAAATCTACTGATGCTTGCCTTGAAATTTATTCTAATGTAAGTGCGGAAAGCCTCTAACAACACTACAGAGATGCTTTCCAAAACTCGCAGAGCCTATACTACCTGCCTTGCTGCTGCTGGGTTGCCTTCTAACTCTGAGCACCTCTTAGGCTGCGTAGCTAAACTTCTGCTCTGTAGTATTGGCTGTCTGCTTAATTGCACCTGTTTAATTCTGCACTCCTAAAACTTGTGGAGTTTGAGAGTGCGGTGGGGCTCAGCTGGTTGAGTTTTTTCTCTCCCTTGGTGAGATGCTGAAAGGGTGGCTGAGGTCAGCTGGAGCTCTGCTGTGCCTGGGCAGCTTTCTAGGAACGGCACTGTTCAGGAGCGCCGATCGCCTTCCCCTGTCCTTCTGCCAGAGCTGGAGTTTGGCAGTCTTCGGAGTACAAAGCAACGCAGCACTGCCCAGCCTGGCTTCCAGATGAATGTTTTATACAGTGTTTGGGATGGAGTTATTGGGAGAAAGGTATTACCTCTAAATTATAGCAAAGGGGTTTGCCAGTTCTGAAGGTGGAAGGTGGTAAATGGTGTCTGCCTGCTAATTAGGTGCAGTATGTGCAGCTCTAGGCACTTTTTCCCAAATGTCAGTGGGGTGACTCGTTCAGTAAGCTGCTGTTCTATGTAATGCCCCCCTTTGCTGTAACATTTTAGAGTTCCTCACAAATATGAATCCTTTCTACTTTACCTTACCCCACCATAACCATCTGAAATAGACAACTTGTCTGTGGTTACCTAAGTTAAGTTGGGTGCTACTGAGTCATGATGTGCTGAATCCTGCTGTCTAAGACTGTTTTACTCCAAATATCTGTGTGTGTTAATGGCATTCCTAACTGTTCCAATATGACACCTTAAAATAGCTGATGCTTGATATAATGACTAGTTTCCTTTTGGCACTTACAGCATGATGGTCCAAAAAAATATGACTTCTGGAAAGACATGGTGGCTGCTATCCAACATAATTATAAAATATCAGCATTTAAAGGTAAGTTAGTTCACTGAAAACGTACTGTAATAGCTGAAAATACTACATGTGCTTGCCAGAGCAAATACATTTCCAAGTACTCTGTAGGCTACTCAACACAGCTTTTGTTTTTAAAGCTTATAGTTGTGCTGAAGATACATGTTTATATTGGGGTAAGACATCTTTGTCGTTACTCTTTCTATTTCATTTAGCTGAAACTGGTTTTCTGTCTTTAATAACACTTGTGATGTGCTGCTTCACAGAATTTAGAGGAAAAGTGGTTTCATACCATGATTGGTATGGTAACATGGACATCCTTGAACTGTATTCTGATTCTGTTCCCTGTGTTCTTGTAATCATAAATAAAATCAGACATGAATGGGGAAAAAGAAGTTCTAACTAGTAATTGTTAATTTGCTTTAGTACTTTAGTCTTTATTTGAATTCCTTGTATAGTATTGACAGAATAGTGAGAAGATAGTTGTTTGGTTCTAAACTTAATAAAAATTGCAGAGGAATTTTTTTTCCTCCGTGCAAAGCCAGGCTTAGCATACTGTAACATAAACTAAAGCTGGGAAACATCTTGGATATACTTCAGCTAGAAATTTATTTTCCTTCTTTTACAGACATAACTTCTGGGTTTCTACTGGGCATATAAAATAATAGATTGATAATAAAGACTAACCATCCTGTGTGTTCACACAGTGAATCGAAATTATTTTTAACTATGGAGGTTTTTTGTAGAAAGATTATACACAGCTCAGTTTAGAATTCTCTGTCATTTTGCTAACAGTATTTTCCAATATAATTACCGCTGTTGATGCAACATTCATTAGGCCAGGGTGTAGTCTGGACCCTCTTAGAAGTGAGCTTTTGTTATTCGCAGCTGTACTACTTGCTATATTCTTTCCAAATGTGACTGAGAAAATTGTCTCAGAGATTTCAAACAAAAATAGAAGTTAATGTCAGGATGCATGTTGTAAAAGACAGCAAGATAATACTAAAATATTTTGTTTGCTATTGTTACTGAGTTTCCTTTGGAGCTTAGAGTGTGACTGATGTTTAAGAATTCCTCTAGGAACTCATTCATAGCTGAGATAAGGTATTCTTTCCTAATTAACTGCAACTATTTTTTTAGCGTTTTTATTAATTCTTTTTTGAAATCATGACAGCTCTTCGTTTTAAACCAGCATTTGATAAAGAGAATAATTTTTAAAAGTGCTCTAAGGAGATTATTTAGCTGAAGTCTAAAATTTGGACTTGGTTTTATTTATGTGTCTGCCTGTGTGTACATGTGTTCTTTTATTCATATACCTACCTATCAGGTACCTATTTGGATATGTAAGCTGAAATTTGCATACAAACAGATATGTGATAGGTCTTAATCCTTTCTAACTTTTATCACAGTTGGTACCTAATTTAATACACCTCATTCTTTACTCTCAAAGTCTTGAGGCACATGCACAACAGTGCTGAAGATACAAGAAGCCTTAGTAACTGATAGACATGGGTTTTAGGGTAAAGCTTTGTGAAGTGAAACAATATTTGAAAGTGCTACCTCTGTCATGCATCCCTTTGGAAGGCTTTATAGTGGTTTTATTTTCCTTTCAATAACATGGTCCAGTAGATAAAGCACTGAACAGGGAGTCAGAAGAACCAGAGAGAATTTCTTCCTCTATCGCTTATCTGTGATATTCCCATGGATTATCTCTTTTTGCTTTGGGTCCTTTTGTGAAATGACAGGTTTGTGGTCACAGCCTGGCCTGAAAACCACAACCTCTTGACTTAACTTCATGCCCTTGATGACTTGTAGAGGGTTTAACCCTTCTGAGAAAAGAAGGACTCATTAACAGTTAGTCAAGGTAAAACTTCAAAAGCCAACTTATTAAGTGGCCAGTTGAGGAGACGCAGAGTTCCCAAGTTGAAACGATTTCTCAGAGGTGCCATTGTCAGTGATGGAGCAGAACGACTGACCATTTTATTTCTTAAAATCCGTGGAGTGTTTGCAGTTCACTTTGGTTTGTTGTCAGTATGCCCTTGTTTCTCTATGTCCCTTCTCCTTTTCACATGATTTCTTTGATCATAATCAGGTGTCTGGTGGATTTTGCTTTTCATTGTCTTAGCTATGGTAATTGCCTTAGATAATTGCCCTATGATTATTTTTTTTTGACGGCTCTTTCAGATAGGCATGATTGTCCTGACTGAGTTTAATGAAGGGTATTAAGTCACTCTTCTACTTGTAAAGAAGTGAAGAACTGAGGCTTGCAGAAGGAAGCTAAGAGGGTTCCAAAATAGTCTCATATTATTCGGACCTTCCTTTGTGAAGACTCACTCAAAAAAATTGGGAGAATTTATTAAACAATACTGTCAGAAAAGTGTGATGTCAGATAGGAATGAACACAGATATTCATATTTACAAAATAATAATTTCTTACCTAATAATACCTACAAGAGTGGCCTCTGCAATTCATCTCCAAGTTGAGCATTAAATTACTTGAGAATACTTTTTGTAAATCTTTAACTCATTACTGGAATGTTTTGCAGCTTTAAGGCTATTAATATTACTTTCGTAACAGCGCTTCACTTACTGTATGTTTTATAGACATGAGTCAAGACCAATTTTAAAGGAAACATCGCAATGCGTTTTACACTGTATAAATACGTGGACAAACATCCACAACACATTATGGAAACAGAGTTAGATATTCAGAGTGGTAATGAGGGCTTGAACTACAATATAATTATTTTGGTATGAAAAATTTCAGATTTGGTGATTTTTTGGACAGACGTTTTGTAGGAGGAAGTTGCCTAATATAAATTTCTCAAAGGAGAGTTCTGTAAAATTTCTTTTCTTAAAGACTGCTTTCTCTCTTGTGTGATTGTTTTTCCCTATAATTTCCCTGACACTTCTGAAAACTATAGCATCTGTGGTTAGATTGAAAATGATATATTTGTAATATTTTCAATCCATTTGTAAGATTATGTTTCATTTTGGAAGTAAAAAGATCATGACTAATATGGCAGCAGAGACTTCATAAATTGCCCGTAAAAAGGCTTGAAGGGATCTGCTCTCAAGTTTCAAGGATGCATCTGTCACTGGACGTCTTTTACAAAAAGCAATATTATCAAAGAAAGAAAGTGCTAACTTAAAACCTATTTTTTTAATAACTTGCATTTTGGGGTGTTTTTCTTTTTATGTGATTGATCGGTATTCTGAAATAGCATGCTGTTACATGGAAAGTGTTACTTTGGCCAGGAGAACTTTGGATCTTTCTAAACCACTCCATCCTGTCCCCAAAAATGTGCGTGCTTATGCATACACACAGATGTTTGTGATCACAACTTTATGGTGGTACCCTGTTGTCTTGGCAGAAGATCTAGATGTCTGTGATGTGTGTGTTTATATATTTTATATGCAACTTCAAATACAAGAAACAAAAATCAAATATGCTTTTCTGGCCAAAGAGTCCTCCAAAAGTTCTGCAAAACTTTAGAAATTCCTGATGTTGATTAGTCCAGTGATGAGAGATTTTGTCTTAATTGTGAAAACCGCAACAAACATAGAAGTGAATAAATTTGGCGCAGTTTTCTGCTCTGCTTTCCAGCTAAACACAGAAGGGATTATTTGGGTGCTTCATGTGTTTGACAACATAAGGCTTCCAAAATATCAGAAATTATTTGAAAGTGAGTTTTATTATTATTACAGGCTCTTATGTTTTCATTTTAATCTCATATTGGATTTTCTTCCATCTAATACCCATGATCCAGAAGAGATGTGGTTTATCTTTAGATAGGTTGCTGATCTTCATGTGGAGAAAATATTAAAAAAAAAATAATCTCATAAAACTTCTCAAAGTACCCTCTAAACTGAGAATCCAAAGCTAAAAGCAAGATTTAAATTGTGCTTGTACCACAATTTGATGTGAAACCTGTAGCTTTTACATGTTGAGTTGCTTTCTTAAGTACTTAATATCTGAACAATTACAAAAAGCCTTCAAAAAGGTGTGCATTAGGTACTGAGCTGTGGGCTTTCCTGAAGTCCTAGGTGCTCACTGGAGAAACAAAGATGTTAAAGGACAAAATCTGATTTAAAGTGGGTGGATGATAAGAATTAGTGAGCTATGCTTTTTTGTTTGGGCCCAGTTTCTTGCACAGAGCCTAGTTGAATGAAATCACGGGACAGTACTGCTGAGCACCAGGCATCTCCAGCAGTTTTGGACATGTGCTGTGGCATACATTTCACATGTAAAGCAATTAACCAGAAACTTTACAACTACTGAGCGGTATTTTCCAGCTCCGGTACCCCGTTCCTCTATTTGTTTCCGAAACAAAAGTGCCAGATTGGTTGAATGTATGAGCAGTGACACATGCTATGTTTAAATACTAGAAAGTTCTGTTGAACTAATGCAAGTGACTGCACAGGAGAATGTTTTTAGTGCAAAAAAAAAAAAGGGAAGAGAGAATTCTTAGGAGATTTGTAATTAATATTTGGCATAAAACAGGAAGCTAGAAAAACAGGCGTTAGACTATTTAGGCTCAAGTGTCTTGAGTTTTATTCTGGCTTGAATGAAAAAGTCTTGCAGGATTGCTACTTATAAATTGTGGTACTATCACTGTGTTATTTCCATATAAACGTTTGTGTGCAGTGTTTACAGTAGTAGTATGAATTTGCTTGCCTAGGTTTACTTGGTTCCTAAAATAAGCAGATCTAATATTATGCTCTCTACTTAAGCATTTATTATTTTGCCAAAGTACACCCTAAACCACAGGCATAGTAATCCAGCAGCACTTAATAAGAGGAGAAGAAACAATTTTGCAGAGTTACTTTGTTGGTATGGTTTCCGAAACTTTATATAGTTTTGCTTGCCGTGTATCAACCTAAAGTGTGTTTGCATTTTTAATTAATCCCAACATATTATCAAGTACTTAGGAAACTGTTGATTTCAAATGTATATAGCATAAGAAACCTCAGGTTCTATTTGCATGAAGAAATGGTAGCATCACAAATCTTTTAAACATAGGCCTATATACTTTTAGTGCAAGTGGTTAGAAACTTCTCTTTAAAAAAAACGAAGCGAAAATAACAGTTCAAGAGCTCATAGGGTTTTGTTGTATATGATACTTTTAAAGTACATGAATGGTAACTGTCACTGAAGGAAATGTGTGCTTGAACTAGCACTAATTTTACTAAGCTAGTTTAATTTCATACCATTAACATTTCATAGTGCCATAACTAATGTAATGCCTAATGCTTGTGAGACATGAGTATATGTAGGTATGGTAAATATGATTATGTCTACTGACTAATTACTGTCATCTGATAAATTTGCCATGTAAATAAAACATATTCCCCAGACTATTGTTTTTTCAAGTGAATGAACTGTTCAGGGAAAATCAGCAGAAAGATTGTCTTCAATTCAGGTGGTAAAGCTGTTCTGATTTTGTGAGTGTCTGCGTGCTTGTGAAGATCTGTTTTTTAATATCTGGATTTGGTGTTAGTTGTTTTGCAGTACTCTGAGTACTGTTGTTTTACAGAATATTAGGGGCTTAACAACTACTTTGTTTTGCTGCAGTTTACAAAACGTGCATCAGACATCAAAAATCCCAAATGTGGCTTCAAATCCGGGTGCTTTTTCATATTGTGAAAGTATTAGATATTCAGTGACAGGTAATCATTTGTAAATCTATATTGAAAAGTGGAACTAAATTAAAACTGTGACATGGTATGTAATGTGTTAGAGTTGTTTTCTTGACTCCTGTTTTCTAGCTTAAGAAGCTGACAGATAACATAATTTTCCTGAAGTATTATCCAGCTGTTGTGGTAACTGTGGTGTATCTGAGATTCTTGCCTTCAGTTAATTCAGGTATAATGAAGTATGATCTAATGTCCTGGAATGGCTACTTTGTATTATGAGAAGTAATAGTTAGAAATAGAAATTCTAATTTTCTTTTTTTTTTCCCCTCCCCAGAAGAAAGAGACTGATGTATTATATTAATTCATAAAATTTTAATGTTGCATTCATTTGGACAATTAATCATCATTCGAAACAATTTTCTTAGGACAATTCTCTAAAAACATACAATATTATTCTACTAGGTTTGAACCAATCTCTTCCACCTTCTTACTCCCTCCTCTATTTCTTTTGAAAAATTCAAGTTGTGTGACCTGCTAATGATGAAGCAGAGCAGCACCCAATTAAAATGGTCTGGAGGAGA